GGGGCAAAGAAGTGGCAGGCACAATGCGGTTCATGCTGTCTCTTTATAGTTAGTATCTTCAGTTTACGGGCAAAATATAAATGTATTTGTTTTCCTTAGTATTTTAGGGGTGTTCAAAAGAAACTTTCACTTCAAACTGTAGGGTTCATCAGAAGCAAGGCCTACATCAAGCTATGTGACATACTAGGGTCTGTTAGTAAAGAAACTTACTGCTGTGTTGCAGCTTTTAGTTCATGTACCTGAGGCTACGCACAGATACAGAATACTAATTCTGAGGTTCCTTTCCTGCACACGCTCCATTCTCATATCATGGTCTTACTGTAAAGCTGAGGCTCTTTTGGATTACTGGATTGTAATCATTTTGCTGAAGAAATGACCTGTAAAGCGCGTCAGTGTTGAGATGCTGATCTGAGCTCCAAAGCCTTTGTTCTATGGCTATAGTCTGAATTGGTCACCTTCAGATTTAAGAAAAAGCCAAACAAAACAACACCAAAGTGAACAACTAAACCTCAGCCAAAAAGCCCCACCACCGCAGTTGCCACCTCCGCTGCTTACAAAGAAACCTGCTCCTAATAACTGTGCCAGAATGTGGCTTCTGTAAAACATAAAGTATGCAATAAAAGCATTACTTCTGCAGTTGACACAGGAGTTGGGATCAGGGTAACCTGCTGCAGAGGCTTTGGTGCCCAGTTGGAAGGAGCAAGTTAGTTCAGGTAGTGGATCATGAGCAAACCTTGTCTCTGTGTGCTTTAGCAGGATTTCTTCCACCTCTGGGTTATCCTCATACTTCACCCAGTTTTCTGCGGAAATGAGGTTTGTTCCATCTGTCTCTTCCAGAACTATAGGAGTTTTTAATGTGTTGGTTGACTAGTTGGATTTTCTGGAAGGAAGTTCAGTGAAAATTGGGAACATTTGGGAAGGAGACTGTTTGAACATCAACAAGACTGTTTGAACATCAACAAGCCTGCAAGGTGTGATGCTTTTATGTCCAGTTCCTTGGCATCCTCCTAAGATAACATTTGAGCAGTGGGGATGTACCCTACAAGGAGGCAGCTGCCATGGGAATTCAGTGTGTCCACATTAAAGCAATGGATCATCTCGATATAAATGAACTTGTTTATGAGGAGTCTCATTTTATTAGTTCCCTGATTATGGGTGGATTTCTTGATTATGATAGGTGTATCTTTTGTCTTGTTGGTAAGACCTTGAACAAAAATGAACACAAATAAGCTGGGAGAATGAGCAGCTGCTTACAGCCCAGATATAAGGGAGGAGTCTCTTTATCCTTGTGGGGATAAAAAGCCATTTTCTTGGGCTTCTGTTCCTATGGTGTGCATATCTGGAGGTCTCAGGCTTTCTACTGGGCAAATTCATTTCCCACATGTTTGTTGGCTGTGGGTGCTACTTGCCCCTCTGTCAATGGACTGATGCATCCTTACCCTCACAAATTTTGGAGTCCAGGGCAGTGTAAGCACTCACTCCGTAGTGAAAAGGTCTTCTGTAGGAGAAGCCAAGCTGTATAACTCAGTACCAGGATTCTTCTCTGTGATTTCTGTTAGACCAAGAGTCAGAATCCTGTGACATGGTTATAGTTTGTTTAGTTCTGAAAGCTCACATCTACCTCCGTTCTCGGTCCATCAGATTATGGTCTCTTGTTCATTGAAAGAAATTTTATGGCACCTGTTGAAACTACATTCAACTTACTTTCTAATTCAAGACTTCTTATTCTTAAGAGTAAAAGCAAAATTTTTGGCAAAAATGCTAAGCGAAAATAACTACCTAATTACACTCTGAATATTAGCATTTCTTCCTATGAAGACCTTGCCTGAATGAAATATAAAGGATTTCTAAAATAATCACAGGCTTTTAAAGCCACATGTGTCACAATTTCTTCAAAATCAGATTGCCAACCTAACATTAAACAGATCAGACTTTTACTTTATAGACTGTTATCTTGGAGCAGCTGCACAATGGAGGTGAATTGCATGTATGATTTTCACTGTGACAAAGCCATGTATTTTCAGCAACCTGTGACCATTAACTATTAAAAAAAAAAACAACATTTGAAATCTAATATTTAATTACAAATCTCTTACATGCAGATAGGACTCTTCTGAAATGTAACTGTTAATTTTATAATTTGAGAGTTTAAGCATTGTGTGTTGCTGTGTTTTTTAGTGGTTTTAGAAGATGCATGTTTTATTCTTGAGGGTTTGGGGTTTTTTCCAAGTCTTTCAAAGGAAGTAACTCCTCATTTCTTTATCTTTAATTCTATTTATTTTCTAGTAGATCTTCTCTGTATTAGTGTCTATTTTATTACTATATTAAAAAAATCTTGTAAGAAACATTGCCTCTCAGTTTTACTGCTTTGCAACTACTGATATGTTGTTGACCGATGTTTTCCTAAATGTTCACCTTGCTTTACATTTTATGGATAATCACCTGAACACTTCTGTTACCCTGTAACTTGCGCGTGGATCAATATAAAGCATGTATTGTGTTTTCTTTAACAGTTATTTCTGGGAAGTGGAGAGAGATCTGTGGAGTTCAAAAAGCCCCCACTAAACTCTAGTTTGATACATATTAGAAGTAAAGCTATGTTGTTTCAGAATGGGCCTTGAAAGGAGGAAATTCAATAAGGAGCCATCTTACTTTCCAAAATTTAAACTGTGAAAGATCAGCTTGGAGGCTTTTTGTTAACTTGATCTTTCTTAAAATTGACCCGTTCATAATGTGTTTCAGTTTCTGCTGTATGCTTTTTCCTGGAATCAGTCCTTGAAAACTACCCACTTTGAAGCATTTTTGTTTCTCCCTTTAAGAAATATTTCTGGTTTTCCTTTGCTAACTGATATGTGAAACTAATAAAACACTACAGGGGTGCTGAATGTGCAAAGTACAACTTTGCATTTGTGAGGCTATCACCATCCTGTGTCAGTCTTTTCGTAGGCCTGTATGTGTGATTGCAGAACACAGGTTTCACTGCATATCCAGATTCCACTCCCTGGCTGGCTGGTTATTCAGTAAGCTCTTGCTTTGTTTAAGAACCAAATGTAATTATTTGGCTTGTTGCTTAAAGCTGCACCTCTTTCCCAAAAGAGGTTTTATGTGTACCATTTGACCATTCTGAAATGTGTTTACTGCTCTCTTCATAGAGAGTTTGATTCAGTAGTATGTAATTCTCAAATTCTTTGCCGAGGAGAATGTAGCGATAAATAAAAATGGACATTGAATTTTACTAATGAAATAAAGACTTTATTTGCTATATTGCTTATTCCCTTTTATTGCAGATGTCTGTCTGACTTTCAGTACATACTCCCTTGGTTTCAGTCAGAGATTTTTATTCTTTTCAGTATTTTAGTGGTGTTTAGAAGAGACTTTCACTCAAAATTGTGGGGTTCAGCATTGTATTCAGTACTGTAATTGCTGTTATCTCTTTGGACTGTCTCATAGTCTAGCTCTGTCCTTCTTAACTACTTTCATTGCATCAAACATTCCCTAAAAAATCCTCAAATGAAGTTACATTGCATGTTGATGGAGTGGTATCAATGCTTAAGTCAGATCAGTTTTAACACATCATTAGGTAGAGTCACCATAAAGCATTTGTTTCAAAGTCTTTTGGAACTGTTGGAACAACCCTTCCGGCACTTGGAGCCGGTCACTACATTGCTGCTGAGCTTTGCTTTTCAAATGGAAAATGCTGTCGTTACTATCCCTGCTGCTCTGTTTCACTGGTTTAAGACATAGTACAATGTTAAGGCTTTGTGTGTTGTGACTTTCATATGTGCCAGCAAGGTACCAGCATCCAAGACATTTGCAAAGTTTCTCCAGGGAATTTGCCAATGGCTGCAGGTGTTGGAGATTTGAACTGGCAAAATGATACTGATTTGTGAAAGCTTCTGTGAGATGTCTTTATGCTCAGAGTAAATCTTTCTTTGTGGAATATCCACAGCAAACAAGCAAGGCATGCCATAACAGTGGTAAAAAAGACATAGATATCCTTGACTTGCTTTCAGTTTCTCAAGCTATGAGGTTGCTTATTTTCCACAGTCAAATGTGGCAATTTGAGCTGTTGGGGACTTGGAACAAGAAATTTCCCTTGTGTGTGCGTGTGTGTGTGTGTGTGTGTATATATATATATATATATATATATATATATATAAAAAAAGGATTTTTGAGCTCTAGTTTTGTTAAAGTAAAGAGTAGTTTGGGGTATCCTCTATTTACTCCATTGTGCTGTAGCCTTGATACTTCAATTATGACTTTATGCTTTCGGGTAGACACTATCTGACCAAACCAAATAAACTGGCACCTATTTATGTCAAATGGGGAAATGCCCAAACTGGTGCTTCTTGAAGAGTAGTTGTCCTATTCAGTGCTTTTTTTTTTTTTTTTTTCTCCAGATAAGGAGAATGTGTGCAGGCACGTATTGGAGCAAAATAATCTCTCATACAATGCAGTAATTCTTAATAACTTTCTGCCTGTATCCTCTTGTTTTGCCTCTCCCGTGCTGAACATCTGCAACACAGAAATGTGTTATACATCAAAATACTCAGTTGTTTCAACCCAGAAACTTACTATGCAATACTTCAGTTGCATCTCACTTCTCAATGTATAGAAAATTAAATTCACAAGGGTGGAGTAACATTTTCTGTTACACACTTTCTTTGCTGTTCCCATTAGGTATCGGTGCAAAACTTACAGTGATGTTTTAAAACCAAATTCAGGTTGCTGCAAACTCTACCTGACCCAGGAAAAAAGTCACGTTTCCAAGGCTCTGTTATTTTGACTGAAAACACTACAATGATAGTTATCTTTTAAATTGTATTACGTCAGCTAACCTAACAATGTTTTTCCATTCAGGACAGAGTAGACTGAAATAAGAGAATTACTAAACTTATCTTTTCTATGAGAACACTCATAAGTTTTCCATGGTCCTAATCTTGAAGCCTCCTCTGGTTACAAGGAATATGTCGTGACTTTCTATTTTTCATTCCCTCCAGGTTTACAGGAACAGACGGACCAAGTGGTTTTGGATTTGAGCTGACGTTTCGCCTAAAGAGAGAAACGGGGGAGTCAGCACCACCTACTTGGCCAGCAGAGTTAATGCAAGGCTTAGCCAGATACGTCTTCCAGTCAGGTACTGCAGGGTGAAGTATGCTGCCTCTTTTTTCCTGCCCTTGTTCTTAAGGGCAACATCTGTTACATGGTGCAACACTTGTCTCATCAGCGCTCTATCAAATCTTGGGCATTACCTTTGTCTGAGAACCCAAAAGAGTGTGTTCCTTCCATCAGCCCAGCTTGCTGGGGACAAAACCCAACTGCTGTTCAGGTAACACAAAATCCATAGCACTGAAAAGCTGAAGATACAGAACAGTTGGTAACCATAGGAAGCCTGCCCTGTGACTCTTTGTTGATCTTCTGTGTTGTTGGTTTCACCTTCTCTCAGTAAGGAAACCTTATAGTGCAATGGCTGAGGAGCACCCATCTTGGTAAGGTGGCACTTCTCAGCCTAATGGCTGAGAATAACTTCAGAAAAAGTTGCAGTTCATTCACAAGCAAATATGTTCTTATTGTCTCTGCAGTTGAGCAGCAGCAACATGTGTAAAGAAGTTGCTGGGATGAGAAAATGGGATAAGGGATGCCAAGTCTGGGAGGGATTAGGGAATTAACAATTGGGAATCATTAATGCTGATGGAAACATCTCAGAAAACTGAGAACCAGGGAACCTACAAAACATCCTCTTGCGCTACCCTTTCTGGGTTTCATTCACACCTGTAGATTAAATATCAGTTCTGGTCTGAGCACTTGAAGACCCAGAGAATGGTTGAGTGCATTGGAAAGCCCTCTCCAGAATCACAAGATACAAATGAAAATATTTGAAGAACTTTCTTTTAACCTAGTTTGAGGTCCTTTACCGGTAAAGTACCTTCCAAATCAATGATTATTGAATTTAAAACTTTTGGTGCTTATTCTACTAGTTAAAAAATTGGTCAGTAACTCCTGATTCTGTTGCTGGTTAAAACCAGGATTGCTCTCCTAACCTCAGTGACAAATCTCTGAGGCAGTGGCAACTCTTGTGGATTTGTTTTGTTTTCCTAAATATTGACTGATAGAGACAAATTCCAGCACAGGTTATTGCTTCTTGTCATACTGGGAGTGCCTCTTGTTGCATTTTAAAAGGACCCAAGCGTATTTTTTTATAACCTTTGCTGTGTTGACATTGGGCTCTCGATTTTTGCTGCTCTTAAGCATCTGAATCCGAGTAAATGTAATAATTTTTGCTGTTGTTTGAGGTTCCCATCCTGCCTAAGTTGTATTGTGCAGTACCTTCTTGATACTGACCATGCAGTGATGAATTCATACTCATATTTTCTATGTATTAGCTGCAAGGTCTGAAGAAAAAAATCTGAATCTAAAGTCTCTCTTTTACATATTAGGTACTTACATACTTATTATTTAGATATTTATCTTATGTATTACACCCTTTTTTAAATTTTCTGCTCCAATGTAGATTCTCATAACGGTCTTTTAATAGAGTAGTTTCAGTGCCTTCTATTTGCGTATTAAGCAGCCTCTCATGCTTATTTTTCTTGCCCTTTTCATGGGTGAGAGGAAGTCTGCAGAGTAAAATGGGATTTGGTAGGCTACTTTAGGACAAACTTCTCTGTGACTAAGCTGGCACTCAGGGCAAAGACTTTCCTTGTTTGATTCCTGCACTAATGCAGTCTTGTGTTTCTGAACTCAAAGCCAATGAACTGTTTTTAGACTGGAAAGAGTGGTTGTGCCCGTGCATCAGTCTGACATGAACTTCTAATGGCCTCCGGTATTACCATGCTGGTTTTGACTTTCTGTCCACCATGACTCTTTAAAGGCACTGTTCAAATATATGTTAATGGATTCTAGCTTCTGGGTGTTTAGCTCTCAATTTACATTGTTTAAAAACCCAGTGTATGAACCATAAATTGACTTCTTTCTTTGAATATGAAATTGAGCACGAGCCAACTGTACGCTCATCATGTAATAAGGCAACCCATGTGCTGGCTCATCTTAGGAAGAGCATGACTAGAAGATTGAGGGAAGTTATTACCTCTTTGGCATTGCACTGGGGGTGCATCACTTAAAACACTGTGTCCTCGTTTGGGCCTTCTCACACCTGAAGAGTGTCCAGGGTAGTAAGGGTCCTAGGACATGTGAGCTATGAAGAGAGCTGAGGGAGCAGGGCAGGGTTAGCCTGTGAAGAGAGGGTGCAGGGTGATCTGACAGGAGCATACGACTGTTGAGAGGTTAGTTACAAGACTGGGGTCAAGCCCTACATAGCACAACAAGGGTCTACAGCTCTGAATTGTAGTATGGGAGGTTCTGTAAGGGCTTCAGGAAAAACTTGCTCACAAAGAGGGTGGCAAAGGACAGGTAACAATTTATGAGAGGTGGTAGATCTCCATTCCTTAAAAAGTTCAGGACTTAGTTCTTCAAAGCTACAACAGCCCTGATCATCATTGGTGATGGCTCCACTTAAATAGAAGGCTGGACGGGAGACTTCCAGAGGCCCCTTAGATGTTACAGAAGAGTTGGATTTTTGTTTTGTTTTTTCTCCATACAGCTTCATGCCCTTCAGGAAGCAGGTGTGTTCTGTCACTGAGTATTACCAACCATTCCTTGCCCTGTATAGAAGGAAACCATATGATGTTGCAGCAAGTGAACAAGTTCTAGTTTTATTTTAGTATAGATTTGTTTATCGCTTGTCTCCTTTGAATAAGAACTTTCTCAGGCTAAAATCTTCTGGCTAATCATAGACATCAGGTTAATCCCAAGAAGATAATGTAAGCCTTACGAGAAGATGATGTAAAAGTAAGCCTTGTAATGGGACAGACTATCATGTTTCTTGATCTCTCAGGGCAATACCTGTTGGCCATACCTAGATGCAGGCGTCATCTATTTAATGTAAGCTTGCTCACGCCATTGCTTTGCACAGTCCCCAGTCCTTCTACATCTGACATGTCTCACTGCTTTGCTTATGAGCTGCTGCCTCTCAGGCTTTCAGTCCCCAGAGCAATTCCCATGTTCTTCTTTGCTTCACCCCTGAGTAATCAGGCACCCACTATTCTGCACTGTTGGGGTTTTTCTGCCTAACAGGTTTTCCCTCAGTCTAATGTGGTCAGTCTGCAAAGCCAAGTGTCTTTTTTCCTTGGTCTTTTACAGGACTTTTCTGGTAAGATGTTAAAACTTTAAAACTGGGAATTATCTGAAGGGGTGGGTTTTCTGAAGCCCATTGGGTAGTAGGCAGGCTGGGATACCCACAGCATTGTTTTACATGATGAAAGGTTTCTTTTTGCTCAAGTTCTTTCTGTTTGTGCCACTTGGAGCGTTTATCAGATGCAGCAGTGGTGGTGTTTGACTCTGGTATATGTACCTGAAAGTTGTCCTCTTTTTTCTTTTTCTTTTTTTTTCTTTTTTGTTTTGTTTTTTTTGGGGGTGGTGGTTGTTGGGTTGTGGTTTTTTGGGGGTTTTGGTTGTTTTTTTTTTTTAAACCAAACTTTTTAGGTCTTTGATACTCCAAAGTAGCCTCAAAAACATTTGATGAACCGAACCAACTTAAGTAATGCCTATGAATCCTCTCTGAACAAGAGGCAAGAAAAAATAAAGCTGGCAGGAGCTTTTTGGGTAGGCTCCAAGCACTTTCACATGTCAAAAGATAGTTTACTTCGAACGCTATGCTAAGAGCTAAATTCGTATCTCTTGAATAACCAGCCAACTTTTTGGTGATCATAGATGTGCTTTGTTGGGTCGGGTTGAAGTTGGGGGAGAGTAAGGTGTAGTTATAGTCCTGCTGAACCTGAGGATTTTCAAATGGTGATGACTGAGTTGAAAACTCACCTAGCAGCTACTGCTGTCCTAAATATTATTACTTTATATTGCAGTTGCAAAGCATGTCTCCTTGCAGTTGATGTATTTTTGTAACAAACACTTCTAGGCAAATGAGTGTCCTGTTCCTTTGTTCCTGTCTCTCCTGCACTGTGGCTGTGATTTAGAAAAGCAGCCTTCTGCATTGAATTTCAGCCCTCTTTGAGCCTTGGCTTCCCTGTTCACTGTTACAAACACTTGGTGCTTTGTGCTTTTGATTAAATGGCACTACTTCCCCTCCTTCAACAAAACCAAGCTTGAGAATCTCAAAAATTTTATTTGTGGCTTTATCTGTTCTTTATTTTATCACTGTTTGACCACAACCATGCATTCCAGCTCTGTTATTTTTAGTTTTAAAAACCCCCAAACCAACAAACCTTGAATCGGTGACCTTAGCTTGTCATGGTTCATGGGTATACTGGGAATATCTCATGGTAGAACAAATTTATACTTCAAACAAAGAGGAAGAAATTCTCTTCCTACAAAAAGCTTGTCTTGGGCTTATTGCAACTGTTAACTCTTTAGGTACTGCAATATTACAACACGTAATCAGTATAGAGAGGCTGTGATTTGTGTTTTCCTGAAATCAAAATCTGCATTGTTTCTATGTTATTTTTACAGGCGTATCTGATACATATCATAAGGGCTATACATTAATGTAGTATGGAAATAAATGTGTTGTGTGCATGAGTTCTTGCTGCTTCTGTGTTTCTTGGCCTGAAAGAAAACAGCTGCAGCTGTAAGGTGCAGGTTTGGAGAAACTGTCAGGAAAAACTCATCATGTTAACGGTATAGCATATGTCATGGTTATGTTCTCTGCAGTGCATGACTGTAGTGGAGAGCTAGTTAGTGAAACTATATTCAGAAGTACTAAGATGTCCAGGAATTAGAGGTATACAGGTTGGCTGAGCTTAGTAACGTTTATCCCGGAACATGTCTGCCTGAGCAGTTTGAGCCCTGCCATTACAGGGGGAGCAGGTAGCTTTACAGGAGGCTGGAAAATGGCAAATGCTGTTCTTCACTTTCAGCCACACAAAAAAAAAAACCCCAAACAAACAACAAAACCAAAACAACCCCCAAAAATGCAAAACCCTGAGGTTTCTAATTGGTCTCTCAGACTTCAGATCTTAAGAAACAGTTAGGAAAAACAAACTATCTAGAAGGCATTCAGGGAATAATGGATGTTCCAGCATGGACTTATCAAGAATAAATCAGAACAAACTAATTGTGGTGAAG